CGCAAGCGATGGGTTCGGCAAAGACGGTAACCGGTCTCAATCGTACTGTATAACTGTTGTCCTGTGGCTGTACCACCTTTAAAGAGGAACGCATAACTGTTTCGCGCCAGAAATAAACACGATGGCGGCACCTACCCGTGCGCCTTTTAATAAACATCACGCCCTATCACGAAAAAGGTAAAAAAACAGCGTTGGTTAATCAATCACCGCCCACCAGCTATTATTACGAATGTTCTATCTAAATAATTAACGAATGCAAAAGCAATTCATTAAAAAAAAGTATCCTTTAATTGTCGAAGTTTATGTAATTTTTTTTTACTTTCGCCATATTGAAACAAGCTTAAATTTGTATTACAATAAACATTCTTACCTGAAGGGTAGGCAACGCACTGGCGTAAACGCTGGTGACCGTGGGCGGCGGTGAATCACTTACCATCAGGTGACCCGTCTTGCTCGTTTGCCTCTCGTTGTTATAAAAAAAAAAAGAAAACATTTATGTGCGCAGTTCCGCTCACATCAACCAGATAGTCATGCAAACAGTGTTTATTTTAAAACATAACGTTGTCCGAATTGAATTACTTACTTACTACTTACTAAAGAAAGTCCTCTGATAGATTTTACAAAGCGGACAATTGTGATTGTGAATATTTAAGGTGAAACAGGTACGAAGACGATAACGAGGTTATGGATGCCGTGGAGAGCTTGTTGCAGGACCAAGACAAAACTTTTTTTGAAAGGGATTGACGCGTTGGAAAAGCGCTGGACTCGGTGTGTAGAGAGATTCGGAGTGTGTGTAGGAAAATAAATTATTAAGTTATCAATAGTTATTATATTCTATCTCATTCTCGCTACTTTTTGATCCCTTCTCGTATATACATATAATTGTAAATTATTTAGGTATATTTTGATGCGTGATACTGTAAACATCTCTAACGTGCTATAATTGCGAAACAGTCCCATATTTGTGGATAGATAGGTGACCTAAAAACAATTGACCTCTTCGTATCTCTTTCTAATAGTATGTAATGGTTGACCAAAGCGATACATATTTAATACGATTGATAGAATGCTCTACCGTTTTACGTAAAATGAATGCCAGGGTCATCCCTTATCGTATCTTATCTAAATGATTAATAAAAAAAAAAAAAAAATCTATTAATATATTTAAGTAATTTTTTAACGTAAATTAAAGATATGAAAGGTAATCTCAGAAACCAGGTCAATAGGAGCTAAGTGGGAACCAGCTCTAGAGTTCAATATTTTCATTGCGGGTTGATGAGGAGGATGCATTGCATTTAGGTGCACAAGAAAGACCCGCGGTACACGATGAATGGTCACGTCTTATGAAGCACACCAACATCCGAACTGATGACCACGACTAGTGCTAGAAGATTGCGGTAACTCTCACAATCTTCTCTGGGACCAAATCCTCCTCAATTTATTTTGACGGCGGCTCTTTAAATTTAGTTTTATGCTATGCACCTATCGACTGTCGTGATGCACTGCGCACACTGCACATCCTTACCTGCTTGACAACGACTAGTCGAGGCCGTGCCGTGAGGAGCGGGCTCCCTCGACTCGATATCGAAAAGATCGGTTCGACAAGAAATCCCGTACGATGTATACGAGACAATCCGGCACGCCCATATTGAAAAGTTTGAAAATCAAACCGTTGTGCCAAACTTTGTCGAACGCTTTTGCGACGTCGAAGAAGAGAGCTCCCGTGTATAACGGTTTTGGTCGGTTAAGCCCTACGAGAATGTGCTCAGTGAGGCGGTGCACCAGTTGTACGTAAGCAAATATAGCAAGTACACAGATATGGTTCGCAGTTGATACGTACTTATATCCAGAGATAATTTATAATTATTTATTACTTACTTGATAACAATAGATAAAGCCTAACAAAATAATGTAATGTTAATAAATAAAATATATTAAAAATTTAAAATGAATGTACTGATTCAGAATTTGATTTATATATTGGTTTATAAATACAGTTTGTTGTAAATAACAATTACATGACATAACAAGATGAATAAGTTTACATAATCTTAAATGCATAGGTATGAAAGTAGAGGTAAATGTGAGGGGAGTGTCCTAGAAAGACTTCGATGGACTGTGTGAAAGAGGATATGCGAGAGAACGGTGTGAGCTATAATGTTTATGTACTTAATATTTATAAGAAATAAATAAAACAGACATTGCCTTCTTTCGCGTATAGGTGGGTTTTTAATTAAGGTATTGCAAAAATTTGCGATTTTTTTGGAAGCATACCTAATAATCATTTAATACTTCGTGATTCTTTTCGAAAGAAGAAAGGAGGAAATCTTAGTGTAGACCGTTGAAAGTTTTTGATTTAATTTGACTTTAAAACTTAAATTATTTCATTTTACAAAAACAATATCCTGTTATGTATTAAAAAAAATTGAAGCACGTGAGTAGTAGTCATATTATTGTCTCTTTATTAATTTGTATCCCAGAGTTCAGCTCGACGGGGCACGGGTGTGATTCCCGGTCGGAGGCCTTTTTTTGAAGATATTTGGTATTCGGAGCCTGGCTACTTTGTACAATACTGTTCTGCCATCCATAACACAGCCAAAGCCCCAAGCCTGCCGTTGTCTAATTTAAACTAATATATAAATCTACAGTGGTTTTTACGGATGTTCCGTTATAACTACTGAACCAAGCGTCCGATTGACTTGAAACTTGGTATCCATGTAGAAAATAGCATGTATTTTACTTAATGGATAGGCTAATATTTATATGAGTGTTGGACTCCCTACACCAGTTGCGGGGGCGTTAATGATGAGAATCTTTGTGGGGATGAGAAATAATAATGTTAATTTTAAATGCCCAGCGAAGCGGACGGGTACAGCTAGTATGATATATTTCCTTAAATCAACGTATTAGCAAGACTTAAGTAGTACAAGCAAATCAATAGTTTTTATTAGCTTTAGTGTAATAGATTTTGTTTATGTAATACTTTAGTACAAGCAATAAAATGTGTTCAAAATTTTAGACTTAAAAAAGACATGAGGAAAAAGAAAGAAATAGGGCAAAACATGCTCAAATAAAAAAGACATTAATTTCTAAATTCCAAAAATACACATAAATAATAATTAATTAAAATTTAATATATTATCTAATTTAACACTTTAACCTTGCGATAGACCATCGAATGGCCAGTTAGATTAATAAAAAAAAGATTATTCTTAATCAAAATACATATAAATTTTAATCACTACGTCTCTGTTGATAGAGCAATGTGAAACATCCAGTCTGTCGTTATACTTTGCTTTGTGTGTGCTACTATACTTTACATACGTATTATGTCGATAAAGATTTATTAAATTCAGCTATTGGTGATTTGTATTTGGAGAAAAAACGGAAACTTCAAACCACGTGGTCGTCCATATTTACTAAATTAATTGTATATTATAAGAGTGTAATACTATGAACTTAAGTTATCCTAAAATTTACAACGTTATCAATCTTATTAGGTATTACGTGCTGTGATCTCGCACGGGTCGGTCCCGTTATCCTGTCTTTTTTTTATTGCTTAGATGGGTGGACGAGTAACGGCCCACCTAGTGTTACTGGTAACCGGAGCCCATAGACATCTACAACGTAAATGCTGCCACCCACCTTGAAGTATGAGTTCGTAAGTCTTAGTACAATACAACGGCTGCCCCACCCTTCAAACCGAAACTCATTAGTGCTTTACGGCAGAAATAGGCAGAGTGATGGTACCTACCCGTGCGGACTCACAAGACGTCCTGCCACCAGTAATGCTGTTGGAATGTCTGTGTCAGTGATTCAACTTTAGCACTTCATTGGCTTAGACCAGGCCAAGAAGCGGTTGCTTTAGAATAAATTTCAGGACATGCACTTGGGAAAAATTCCTGCCAGAGCCAGACATGTCATAATTTTTCAACACTTTCGAACTTTCGAAGGTTCTAGAACTTGTATTCTAAAACTAAAAGTATCTATGGTACCAACCGGTCTTGATTCATTGATTTATTTTTAACAAGTATTTTAAAATGTATTTCGTTAATGACGCTAATGTGATTTTGAGTGTTGCAGAAATAAGTTTAAAATTGTCCATGACTATCGAGTTATTTGAATTGGAAATTTTTATTTGGCCATAAAGTTTACTTTTTTGTTTTGTGGTGCATCAGCTTTTAGGTAATCATTAATTTAACATTTATTTTATTTCATATTTGTATTGTCGGAACAGAACTCACAGATGTATGTAAGTATCTAACTTGATGAATGCCATTGACAATCGTGAGTTTTATTAAGTTAGTCTTTACTCTGAGTGACTCGATGGTGTGGTAGTTAACACCTCTGACTATTGCGCCGAAGGTCGTGGGTTCGATTCCCAGATAAGGTAAATCTTGTGTGATGAACAGGAATGTTTGCTCATTGTCTAGCTGTTTATTATCTATATTTATTTATATATTTAAACGTAGGCAGGTCTCTAAATGGGGCGAATTTAATATATTTTCAATATTAAAATTTATATGCGCTTTTATTAGCTTCAGACGTATGTATGTTTGTAATGGAATCTTTGAACATGATTTTGACCCCCTTCAAAACGTCGGATTAACTCGAAATTTGGTATACTTATTAAGGACCGATGACATAACTATCAATATTTAAAAAAAATGAACAAAAAATATTGACAAAAATGAAATTCAACTAAAGCCCACGCTTTTTTACAATAAAAACGTTTTTTCTTACACTATTTTTAATTCAAATTTCTTAAAATTTATTTTCTATTTTTTAGTTGGATTTTCTATAAAAGCGTATTTTATTAGTTTTTTAAACTATTATTTATTTTATAGGTACTTCTAGTCTTAATGTCATTAAGTAGCTGACTTTCCCTATAATTCGCTAAATGAGGCTTAAGATAATCAGAGGTTGGAATAGCACGCATCGATTTTATAATATTTGAGATTGATTACATGTAATTTTGTGACCAGGTATCCTCGCCTGACATAAAGCTGCAGTTCTACGTGGGAGAGCTACGTGGAATTGGCATATCAGTACAAGAATTGGTAGGGGAGCGAAACTGAAAAACGCGAGCCGGATTCTGAATATTGCAGTTGAAGTTGCCGATGCATCGCTAAACGAAGATAATTTTTAGTCCACAATATCTAATTTCATTGCGGACAATGACAGAAAAAGTTGAGGAGCAGTTGAGCATGTTTAAAGAGTGGTTCAGGAAACAGCCACATTTCCCAAAGAAAATAGGTAATTATGCAAAATTTATTATTCTATGTAACCTTAAAATAAGTTAACATTTACAAATTAATTTGTTATTACTAGTCCAATGTCGGTTGCAAATGATTCGAAATAGATATCAAGGATCAGATCAGCTACACACTGGAGCTCGAAGGTTAATCGTAATCAAAATTGTTCTGCTTATGCAAATCGGTTGTATCAGTTTAGAAGGTAGCTCATTATATACAGCTCATCAGAATTTTTATTGCTTAAGCCTAGCAGATGACCTCAAGACTTCTGGAAATCAGTTATTACGTTGCCTATATAACCTAGACATCATAATGTGAATGACCCTGCCTGTCTCGAAACATCGGGCTACAGACTCAATGTTGATGTGTTCGACTGTTCCGCCTTTTGAGTGCTCCGCGATGGACCGGAAAAAAAGATGGTCGTACTCTCCCGCGCGGAATTACAAATGCCCTACTCATTGTAAACGCCAGTAGCAGCTAATATGCTGGTATGAAGCTATAACGCTAGTGCCCAATCTCAACTAAATCACTTCGTCGCCTTTTCGACATCTATGGTAAGAGGCGGCATGGTGCTACTCTACTCTCTCTACTCTCTCTAGTCTCTCTAGCTATCTCCCTCTAGCTTCCGCACCATCAGTGACAGTAGGGGCTCAATTTCAGCTCAACCTCTGTTGCGTTGTGGTAAATGAGCGTGGACTGTATTTATTGTTTTTGAGATATTTATTAGGCCTTATATGACAACTATAAAAACTGAATACAAAGAAATATAAAATCGCTGCTTCGCTCTTGACGGTTGGATTCGAATGAGAAATAGTGTAATGGCGGACGTCGTTCGCTGACACCTTTTTGACAATGACGTTCAGAAATTGAACAACCTCATGTCTCTGAAATGTAATGTAAATAAACAATAACGTAATTCTGTCATCAAAATATCGCTCAGTTCGGTTTAGTATTAAACTTTTATTTCTGTGGCTTCCCAAGGCATACGACACACCCGAAGCTAATTGGTTACCTTCACTTAAGGTGACAACGACGACATTAAATTATGTGTGACATCGGTAATGGCATTGGCAGCTGTCTGCCAGCACAGACTGATGAAGAAAATAATAAGACCCTTGTGTTTGGAGAAGATATTTAATTAAAAAATACATTTACAGATGACATACTCATAGTAAGGTTCCTGCACAGCTGTTATTATGACGTGGAGAACGCAAAGAAGACGGCCAATAAATTCTTCGAGATGAGGGCGACCTGTCCAGATCTATTCGCGAACAGAGATCCCACGGGACCAGATATACAAAACGCGATCCAGTTTAGGTAATTTATACAGACAGACGCGGAGACTTAAGAGAGCGTTAGATTCGGTCCAGAATATCAAACTGTTTACAATTAAATTAACTGATTAAAATCAAATAACACCTGATTATTTGATTTAAATCGACTGTAAACTGTTTGCTTAAAGTGAATTTAGCCGAAATTGACATTAACATTAAGAACACACGTGTACTTACTATTTTAATTGTATGAATTTGAATAGAATTTTATGAATATGAAACTGAATTCTCTATGTGACTTTGGAGTTTGTGACTTTGTGAAACATATAAAAATACTAAAGATCTTTTCATCAGTTTATTTTATTGAAGCAGACATTTTCGCACTGTCAAAGTTTTTCGCGGTATTTTATTAATGTATAATCTGTGGCGCTCTCAGGAAATATCACATTTTAAATAATCTTTTTTTGTTAAATATACAGTTTTTTTCTATTGCTTAGATGGGTGGACGACTTCACGGTTCACCGGACCATCAACAACAGAAATGCCGTAACCCACTTTGGAACATGAGTTCTAAGTCTCCGTTTTATAGTACAACGGCTGTCCCACATTTTAAACCGAAACGCGTTACTGTTTCACGGCAGAAATAGATAGGGTGGTGGTACCTAGCCGAACGGGGTCACGAGGCGTCTTACCACCAGTAAAGATGTACACGACTTATAATCATACAAACTTACAATTGAGCAGGTAGTTAAAAATCTACCATTAAGCAATCACGTCATCTGTGTGCTTAGTGCGAGTTTTTGAATATTCTCGACAGCGTAAAAGTTAGCTCATATTTGTATGGAATGGGATCGTTTGCCTACGTTTGACGCTAGGGGTGCTGTTCCAACTGCATACAAAATTGGGTTAACTTTTACGCTATCGAGAACGTTAAATAAGTTTAAAAAAGTGTGTGTGTCCGCTCCGACGCACGACTGGAGTTTACTGGATATAAAAAATTAAACGAAACAATACGAGAAATAGTTCTATATTACGACAACACGATACACTACAGATTATTAACAAATTAACGAGACACAAAACAAACGACTAACAAATATATGAAAATACAATAATGAGAGAAACGCGCGATCAGTACGAGGCTTTGTGGCGGACTGCCGGCGCAGCAGCCCGGCGTCACCTGCGATAACGCGGCCGCGCGTTGGCTCCTGATTGGCGCGCGCACGCATCACGCAATCAGGAGCCAATCAGGCGCATAACGCATTTCGTGTGACATGCTAGTACGATTTTGATTGGCGCGCGCACGCATCACGCAATCAGGAGCCAATCAGGCGCATAACGCATTTCGTGTGACATGCTAGTACGATTTTGGTCCCCATAATTTTCATACCCCGGGCCTATATATGTAAATCGATTCTAAAGGAGTAAACTCCAAAAACTCGCACTAAGCACATTGTTTCAATGATGGAGCAGCCGTTCAAAGATTAACTTTGACCTCGTTTTTTAAACTGTGTGCTTAATGCGAGTTTTTTAACTTCTCAATCGCGTAAAAGTTAACTCAAATTTGTATGGAGCGCCTCTAGCGGCAAACGAAGGGAAGCTTTTCCAACTCTATGCGTACATAAAATCATCATCCATAAAAAACTCACACTAAGCACACTGGTGATCATTCGCCTGTGCTCAGTGATGCCTAACAAACAACAAATCTAAGAAGGAAAACAAAATATAAATTTGATTGGAATTTTGAATTTTTAAATTCGAAGACATAAACATTAAAACTGTATTTCAGCAAAATGGCCCAATACCCAATAACGGGAAACAAATTCCTATGGATATGGCAGATCGACGATCCTGGCTTGCAGCGGTACAACGCGACTCATGAGGCTAAGCTGTCAGCACTGGCGACAGACTGCTGGCTCCTCATTGAGCAGAACTTGGAAGAAAGTGACATTGTTTTGGTGGACGCGAAACATATGTCCTTTAGAATACTGATGAAGCTTAATTTGTCTTTGTCTAAAGCGCAGGTCAAATACTATGAGGTGAGTTTGTGAGTGCGCAATACTTAGTTGTGGATGTATGTTCCACCTTCCACCTTCTCCTAGATTAGCATGTCCATAGACCTCACACCATACAGTGTCTCAACTCACTCTGAACATTATTTTACTCTACCACTGAAGACTAATCCCAAATGTACAATAACGATTGGTCGTCCGATATTATTCATAATAATAAAAAAGAATGTCTAAAATTTCATTCGTAAAATACACAAAAGCCACTATATGCATTTGCATATTTTGTTTCAACACATTTGGTTTATTTTTACTGCCGGTAAGACCTCTGACGAGTCCGCACGGGTAGGAACCACCGCCCTGCCTATTTCTGCCGTGAAGCAGTAATGCGTTTCGGCTTGAAGGGTAGGGCAGCCGTTGTAACTATATACTGAGACCTTAGAACTTAGATCTCAAGATGGGTGGCGCATTTACATTGTAGATGTCTATGGGCTCCAGTAACCACTTAACACCAGGTGGGATGTGAGCTCGTCCACCCATATAAGCAATAAAAAAAGGATTGTGTGGTTTTATGAAACCACGGTAAAAGTGAATCTTTTTTTCACATTATAGACATTTAACTCTGACAAACAACATTTACATTTAATACTGACAAAAACAAACAAGATAACGTGGAGCACTGGCACAAATGAGTAATAGTCTATACATTACACGGTCAGCTGCTGCGAACTATAGGCGCCGCCATACTGGCGCTTTTCACTTTATCTCTACTCCGCGGCCGACCGTCACGCGACATGCAACCCACAGACGAAAACGTTTGAGACAATGTGTTTCACTTAAAAAATAAAATAAAAATATTTTGGAGGCCTATATAAGAATTGTATATTGTTGTAGTCGCCACCATTTTTTATTTTTTAGTTATAAAGTTTCCTAGTTATAAAATATTGTCATGTATCTACATGACAATATTTTATAACTAGGAAAATAAAAAATGGTCTCTAAGATCTTAAACAGTCCCTTATACTAAGTACGTTTTGTTCACTTCATGAATGGGCATCACCGTAAAAGACATAAACGAATGTTGATCTATATTTGTTTTATATTTTAGGAAGCAATGCCATTTCGAATGAATCAGATTCACTTCGTGAATTGTCCACCCATCTTAAGCAGAATTTTTTCAATATACAAAACTTTCGTTAAACCTGAAGTCACAGAAAGGGTAAGTTGTTCAAAATTTTATATTAAGACCTAATGGTTGAAAGAGTCGTGCAGATGAGTGCTTTTGATCTGGGTACAAATACCTACTCCGTAATGGGATGAGTCATGAGCCATGCTAATTTTTTTGCTTACCTATCAGCCATTAGCCTTGAGAAAGTGTTCTGGCTTCACTGATTAGCGGGCGAGCTCATGAGGATCAGTCTGAAGGAATTTACAAGCATCTGCCCTAAAAAAAAACAATGCTTCGCTGATTCTACCACTGGATCGGGATTGCGACCCACTGAGAAAATCCAGCGAGAAATTCAATGAGTCGATAAGAATACAAATTCAACAAAAATGCACCCTCTAGCAATTTCCATTTCTCAAATTACTCAAATCAGATAAAAGCTTTGTCACTTTATTTCTCTTCTCTTCTTTCTTTTTCTCTTCTTCTTCTTCTTCTTCTTCTCGTCGGGTACTCTTGATTGTTCAGATCAAGAGTACGAGAAAGTCGTGGTTCATTATGGCGATCCATTGCTAGTCGGTCGGTCTCAAGCGTTGGTCAGGGTCTTTATCTGGTCAGATGATCGACGAGATCCATTGACTTAGTTAGTCCTGGATAACAATCCTCTGCAAGGAATTATTTCCAAGCCGTATAATATAGTCTAAATATTTTGGGATTCGAGCTTTGACTGTAGTCTGTAGAGGGCAATCTTTCTTGACACTACTAAGCCCAGGTGCGCACTGGCGATAGGTCGCAGTGGCCAGCTCGCGGCGGCCAGCAGCCATTGCGGCCAATGAGGTAACCTGCGACCCGTATTGGCCGCCGTCTCCAGAATCCTTTCTTCTTGTTTTTCGCTTCTTACTTGCAAGATAAACCAACAGCTATCTCCTCGACATCCATTACGAAGCACCCTGTACTCGGTACTGACAATTTTGGCCGCATGCTTGGTCGCGACACTTGCGGCCGGGTCGTCATACTAGCTGCTGCGACCTGGTCGCCAGTGCGCGCCTGGGCTTAGACTTTTAAAAAGAGAACCAATTTTTTTTTCACTGTCGTAATTGTCTAGTAAACTTGACTATAGTAAAAAACTACCCAATTCATAACCGCATCAGATGCCTTCTATGTTCTGACGGCCTAAGAAACAATTTAAAGAAAATTTATTTCAATAGAAACAAACTCTTATATTTTGGTTTTTAGATCTGTTTTCATTTACCGAACTCTGAAACTCTGTTCGAATATATAAATAAAGACGACCTGCCAAAAGACCTGGGTGGGAATCGAGAAAGTATGGAATATTTCACCAAGCTCGCCATTGAACGCATCATGAACAAAAGGTAAAATTTACATGTTTCTTTTATTAACAATACAATCAATAATATAACGTACTTTTAATTAAAAAAAAAAAACTAGAAGGTTTACTCTATTTTCTGCGGTTTCAGCGAGACTCCGTGGATTTAATTAAAATTACTTTTACAATTTAATCTGACGTTTTTCATTGTATTTATATTAATTTCAGCGTTACGAATACTTCACAGTTTTCGTGGTCACAGACGAGCGGTCAGATTAAACCGTAAAATTCGTTTTAGTTGAATCATTTAATGCACAGATACTGATGTCGAAATAAAATGGTGCGCGTGCATCTTGATGCACGTAAAAGAAGTGAAACTTCTTTTGCGGTGTGTAGTATTGTGGTTTTCTTCATTTTTCATCCTAAATCAAATTTCTCTTGTAATAGGGAATGCTGTGTAGGTATAAGAGAAACGACCTAGCTCGCTTTGTCTTTCCCTCTCTCCACGGTCGAGTGTTTTTTTTTTTTTTATTACTTAGATGGGTGGACGAGCTCACAGCCCACCTGATATTAAGTGGTTACTGGAGCCCATAAACATCTATAACGTAAATGCGCCACCCACCTTGAGATATAAGTTCTAAGGTCTCAGTATAGTTACAACGGCTGCCCCACCCTTCAAACCGAAACGCATTATTGCTTCACGGCAGAAATAGGCGGGGCGGTGGTACCTACCCGTACGGAATCACAAGAGGTCCTACCACCAGTAAGTACTTCTAAAATATCCTGCAATAATGACTGCTGCTAGAGAAATAAGCAGAATCTTACTTGTCCCAAGTTCGCACTTATGCTGTACATACTGCAACGGTTCCTCACGAAGATTCCGATTACCAGAGTAACTAGTAAATTGTCTACAATCGGAGATGGATTTCTCACGTAAAGAATTCACGGTGTTTTTTTTTGTTACAGAGAAATATTACTAGATGACAGTTATTGGATAAGCTGTGACAAGAATAAATAAATAAATAAAACCTTGAATAGCTAAATTAAATTTTTATTTGTTGCAATTTAAACAATTTACATGTGGAGGATTAAAATAAAAACGATCACAGATGATATGTGTTTTCTTCGTCAGATTTGGCAAAGTATAATCTTAGTACCTTTAGGATATAGATGGCAAAAGTAGGTATCTTGGTATAATAAGAATTAAGAAGTGTCCGCTGAAAGCGAACCAGTTAAGGTGGCGCCATAGTAACAAGTGGAAAGACGCCGTTGTTTTTAAAATCTTTCCACTTGCTACTATTAGAGTGAAACTAAATTAAGAAGGAAAGAAAGACATCCCCCGTAAATAGTACTAAAAATAAATAGTTGAGATTTTAAAAACTGCATTATTGTTAACTACACAAGTCACGAAAAATATTAAATCTTTCAACCCAGCACACTTCACTCTGTTTAAAACTGCTATATTCATATGGTTTCAAAATATGATAGAATCTGCAAACAAAATTATTCACTGGTAGTCTAAGAGGCTATTTCAACTAAGTATGTTCGAACGGATTGAGTTCGGAATATCGGAATTGGAACTCGATTTGGTGAGCTCACGGGCTCAACCTATTGCTAATTTGCTAACACTAGCCCTAGCAACAGTAGTTCTCTGCAGAATCTACCACCGGATCGGAATCGCGACCCGCTGAGAAAATCCGGCGAGAAACTCAGCGGGCTGATGTTTAGATTAGGTTGCAACTCTTTGCCGAGTTCGACGAGTCTGGTTACCAGGGTCCCTAACTCTGCTCCTAGGATAAAGCTGAAGGCGTCTAATGCAAGGGTTATTGGATCTGATGGATCCGTAAGGACGTGTCTAGAGCGTCGACGGTGATTCGGGCAGGATTCGGGGAGTAGTCAGCGGCGGAAACGATAAGGCGATTATCATGACCCGCAGCTTTATCGAAGTATCGTTCCGACGCTGACTTCAAGTGTTTTCAGATCAATTCGAAACCCAGATCCTGTAAGTCGACGTTCCTCAGGAGCTACGGAGCTCCGACGGCTAGCCTGCAAAAACGAGATTGTAGGAATTGGAATAATTTATTTTACTACCTAGTTTTATTGTCCTACAGTCTATCTACAAATGTATGTTAAAATAAAATAACAAACAAAATTTGTATATGATTATTTTTCAACTCATGTATCCTACTTTCTAAAATGATTGATGTTAATAATTTTCTTACTATTTACTTAGCTACATTATCCAAAAAGTTTTCGAATACTCGTACACCATTCGGATATCTGTGTGCTTAGTGCGAGCTTTTTAACTTCTCCATCGCGTAAAAGTTAGTAACTGAAATTTGTACCTATGGAGTTGGAACAGCGTCCCTTCGTTCTTCCTATGGAGTATGGAGGGTAGAGGTAAGGAGACCTGTCTCTGTGTGTAAAAAGTGTCCGTTAAAATCTGCTAAATAAGGATGGCGCTACAGCAGCAACCGGGTAAATTTTAAAAAAGGCGCTGTAAGTTATTAGAATAAGATAGAGAAATAAAAAAGGACGAAAGAACTGTAAGCACTACAAAATCATATATATTATTTAAAGCTGATAAGAGAATGCAATCGATGTCTCCACCTTTTACCAATAATTTTAGGTTATATTGACGAAATTAGTTTGGACTACGTAAACATGTGAGGTCTTATAAATTACACTGTCACTAATACTCACTAACTACTCTAGTTATTAAATATATCAAATTTCCTAATTCAGCATACTTCAATCAGTTAACAACTGCTCAATTCATATATTCATACCCTGTGCCTATGATAGCGCCATTCTGGAGGATTTTTGAACTGTTATTTAATGCTGAAAGTGGGACACTTTTTCAAGCTTCTCCCTTAGGAGACGGTAGTAGTAGTAGTTTTATTTTTTTAAATGGAAAGGCAAGGGTGTCGTACCATACAGCCTAATCTTTTATATATATGTTTTTTTTATTTGATGAAATATGATACTATGAAATGAAATGAAGTTGATTAATAATATGAAACATGACATGATATGAATTGAAATGAAATGAGATGATATAATATGGAATACTTTTATGCAAAATGATAATATGAAGTGAAATGAAATGAAGATGATTAATTTGAGACATCAATCAACTGGGATGAAATTAAATGAAATGAGATGAGATGATATGAGATGAAATATAATCTCAGTAAAATGGTGGTCATTTACTGAGATTTTTTCAGTGGACTTTTTGGAGGATCCCGAGAAGTTACGTCCAGCGGCTTTGTTTCATATGAGACGGTTCTCCTTTCCTTACCTCTACCCTCTACCTTCTTCCTTATTTTTTGGCGCCGGCACGGTTTGTACATTAGCCAGCGTCAAGTACTAAGTTTTTTTGAAGTGAAACTTCCTTATCGGCGTTGGAAAAAAATTTACCGTCACATTTTTCGGTTACGCGTCACATTTTTTAATTCACGGTTTTAATTATTTACAGTTTATGAATAAAAAAAAACAAAGGAAACTAATCGCGACATACATAACACAAATGATTTAAAACGAATTTAAACTTACAAAATATAATCTCAATAAAATGGTGGTCATTTACTGAGACTTTGTCAGTGGACTTTTTGAAGGAACTCGAGAAGTTACGTTCAGCGGCTTTATTTCATTTTCCCACATTTGTGCACTTTCACAGACATTAAAAAGTTAATAAACCACCGTTATTACACATTTAAACCTGAAGAAACACCAAATAGATACCGGTGGTAGGACCTCTTCTGAGTCCGCGCGGGTGGGTACCACCGCCCTGTCTATTTCTGCCGTGAAGCAGTAATGCGTTTCGGTTTGAAAGGTGGGGCAGCCGTTGTAACTATACTGAGACCTTAGAACGTATATCTCAAGGTGGGTGGCGCATTTACGTTGTGGATGTCTATGGGCTCCAGTAACCACTTAACACCAGGTGGGCTGTGAGCTCATCCACCCATCTAAGCCAAGCCTTGCTTTCTTATTTCCACCGTTGTATCCTTTTAGACATTTTGCTTACGTTTAAGCCTCAATTGAAAAAATATATTTACAAAATTTTCCCTCGTATTCTCGTGAATTCTACTTATTTTACTACTATAAATTCCATACTTTTTTATTTCTTTAATTGCTTAATTTTACACAAAATGCACTATTCAAAAACATCAGTAAAGTTGGCATTCTACAACTATAATCTGTCAGAACCCTAAAAAGACTTTATAAACAACACATTAATTATTGTGTGGTTTAAACCATGGGTAGGTTTAAATACATTTTTGTCATAGTGTTAGCCTAGAAGCCCTACTACATTTTTTCCCAGAGAACGACCAAGTATTACCTAAATACAAGCCCATAGTGGTATTACAGTAATTAATTTGTACTATATTTCGAATTCTAGGCAAACATATTAACAGCAATGCAGGTGATGAGATATGAACTCTTAGAGACAGTAATTTAAGTTGCGAGGTGAGAGATAGCCACCTACCAGCACTTATGATAGGAACTAGGTGATAAGAATATTTTTATCATATATGGAATTGGATGAAGATATTGTTGTTTCGGATGAGCTATAGCCAAGTAGAAGCAGTAGCTCGATTAAAAGAAGCACTTGAGAACAAGCAGAATTCGTTTTTTTTAATTTTTTTATTAGAAATTGGGTGAAGATTGAGAAAAATTCACTCAAGCGCCTGGCACCACCCTTTTATGTTAAATTTGTTTTAGCAAATGGCAACATTAAATAACGATGTTCTTTCGCGGGGTTCGTGAGAGATGACGCGCCGGTGAATTCTAATATAAATTTGACGTAATTCTTCATAGCAAACATCTAAAATAAGGTTAATGGTATTTATTTTAAAATGTTGCTTAGTGATTTAGTGAGTTTTCACCAAAATAATAACAATAGTTGTGTTTTCAGACTTCACGATGGCCGATCAAGTCGAGTCAATGTCAGACGCCGAGTTACGAACAAAATTGGCAGAGCATGGATTTCCAGTTATGCCGATTACGGCTTCCACGCGGAAACTTCTCGTGAAGAAACTGAAGATGGTCTTGGATAACAAAGGTAGACCTCTAGCAAGTGACAACAAGGCGGAGAATAGGCGGTCTTTGGCGCGGTACTCTAGCGGTGAGGAGTCTGACTTAGACAACGTGAATAAGATCAAAGACAAACGCGGGCGTCGAGCGACAACTGGTGGTAGCATGTTGCCACCGTCTGTCAGCAAAACGAGAAGAACGCCTTCCAAGAAAAGCTCACCAGCCAGGCGTGATTCGGATAAGGGCTCTGAATCTGAGGACGAGAAGTCTGTGATACGACACGAGGAGGTTGAAACGATAACCAAGCGGCAAGTGACACGCACCTTTGTCGGTAATGACCAGGATGACTATGAAACTGGCTCTGATAGTGATGTTGATGTTGACAAAAAAACATCTACACCATTCCGCAGCAACTCACGGTCCAGTGATTACATATCAAGTACTTTACCAACTAATGATGCCTCGACAAGTCCAAAGTCACCTTTGTTTTCTCGCCCTTCTCTGCCAAGCACCAACTACACCTCACCTATGTCATCTTCAGATCATTTGAATTCCATAAGATCAAGACTGGGTCTCACATCTACACTCGGTGATAGACCATCTATTGGAAACTATACCTCTCGATTTTCTAGCAGTACTTATAAACCTGTCACAAGTACATACCAGCCTTCAACGTCTACTGTTGATGAGGTGGAATCTCCATATTTAAGTAACTTCACCCGCCGTCTGTCTTCGCTAAAGGCTGAGCCACCGAAACAATCGCCTTTTCTTGACCGAGACACAACCAATGGAAGCACAATGATACCTCGTCGGTCTTATATAACTGGAATGGCCAGATCTGATATAGTCGATTATAAAATGGTAAATGAAAAGAAATTTTTGAAAAATAACCTCGTATCCCTGGCTCTGGTTGGTCTTGTGGCTCTTTTTTTTTTTTGCTTATTTTTTATGTACATGGTAAAAAAGAATGACATAACATCCGTTGTGGATGATCAGAACAGTGTTATACCTATTTGTCATTTGAATATACCTGGTAACAGGCCTGGTATCAATTGTGTGCCTAAGGAACAAGTCAGCTATGCTAAAGACCTTTTGAAGGTAATTCATCCAGAGTTGACAACACGAATAGCATCATACAAATGTGGTCAGCCAGGAGCTATGCCTTATTTGACTGAGCGAGAAATTTTGGATATTGCCAGGTCTAAAGCAGACTCGACTGATGTAAGCCAGTGTCGCACAGATCTGAATAACTTGCAGGTGCTGCTAATTAACAATCCCAGGTGGGGTCTTAATGTTGTACAACTAAAAAATCTTTATACAAAAGATGCAGATTTCTCTCCAATATCCAACACTGATTTGATTGTACAGCAAAGAACTAAAGGTAGCGTTGCAATCACATTAACTGATCCATCCACACCGCTCACTTGTTTATTGGTGAACACAATTTATTCAGCTGGATCGACCATCATTATTGTAGCTTTCATCACATTATTAGCTGTTGCTGCTCAAGCCTTTTACAAATTTTATTTGAACTATAGAAAACGTAAAAATGATGAAATCTATTCACTTGTTGGACAGATTATTGATGTAATTTCTCAGGAAACTGTAGATAGTGGTGAACCTTATATATCTGTAGATCATGTTCGAGATACACTGATATCACCGGAGAACAGGGAAAAACTAGCATCTGTTTGGGATGCTGCTGTCAAATTCATACAAAGAAATGAAAGCAGAGTGAGAATGGAGGTTCAATCTGTTGATGGAGAAGACTCCAGGGTTTGGAGATGGATATCAAGTAACAGTCCTAAAAGGAGTGCAGCATGGCAAGGACAAGCATTTGAAACTCAAGAAGGCTCTGTTAATAACCTAACTGTATCACCAACTCCATGCCTTAAAATACGCCACATGTTTGATAAAAATGATGCAAACCCAAATCTAAGGACAATCATTCAGGATGTAATTCTCGAGAAATGTGGTGACAGATGCAACATCTTACATATTGAGATAGAGAGGAGCTCGTGCTGTGTATATGTGAAATGTGCGAATCCGTCAGACGCGGGCGTCGTGTACCGCAGCCTTCACGGTTGGTGGTACGAGGGTAGACTTATCACTGTTAAATACTTGCGTTTAGAGCGCTACATGCAGAGGTTCCCAAATTCTCCATCTATCGGACCATATTTGAAAATGTCCCGTCCTCAACGCTCATGGGATGAGTAAAGTAATATGATGAACTTATTTGAATAGAATTTTTGTCATAATGGGGCGAGTTTACAATTTAAGACTTAAAGAATTAATAATTTTATTTATTCTGGTCATAACAATATTTATACTCACCTTGATTCCCTGCTTTGAACAAAATTGATTTTTGAAGGGTTTTTATAATATAATAATTTATTTCATAAAGCAAACCTGATTTGTTATAATATTTTTTTCTAAGTATATTTTTAAAACTAGATGTAAAAATAGTGTTTGAAAATGCCAGAAGTTTAAATTAAATCAGCCGAGCACTAAAATGGTATTACTGAAAATACAACTTTTAAAAAGACTTCTTTTAATTTGATTTTTAAGTACTATCTACCTAGTAATAGCTAACATTCAAGAACGTTTCAAATCTAAAAATTTGGTCAGATATGTTTGGCAAAATTGATCTGAAATATAGAAAAATAATATAGGGCTCAGCGTAAAACTGAATGATGCAAACATTTGCTCATGAACTGTAAATATGTCACGGGTTCTAATTGAATAACCTGTTTTAGTTTTAATACCTATGATTTGTTATTCAATTTACTAATGTTTTGTTTAATGTGTAGTTTTAGATAGTTTTAAGCTTTAGTAAATAAAGAAAATCAGTCGTGAAGGCACAATGTTATAAGGTCTACTATTGTCTGGAATGTTCTGAGAACTGTTCATTCAAGTAAGCTCTTATAAATGTTTTTTTTTTAATTAAATAAAGCCTACCAGTCAATATAAACACAAGCTTTTAACACAATATGCACAGCTCATAAAGGACAAGATTTGATTACTTTGAAAAATGTAATTCAACAATTGACTTATGTTTTCACCTTGACTGCATAACAGTTTAAAATCTACTATATTTTGTGTAGTTAAAATTTAACATTCACTTATTCGGTAAATTGACATGTATTTTCTACTAACGTTTGTCTTAGAGTTAATTTTTATGGAATGATTTTCATTTTTTTAAATAAATTGCTACAAATAGATGTAAGCTAGTTTCATTGATGCATCACAAACTTTGATCAACGGCAGGGGGAGACAGCTCAAATAATCAATAGTTGTCCATATGATAAGAAAAGTATTGTAACTTACAGAGTTAAATACTTCCACATAATCATAATAATATGTGGATTTTTTATTAGGAAAGTTAGGGTCTGCTGATATCAAGTGGTTAATAGAACTCTGACAATATCCACGTTTTTATGTCCTTAAATGAGTTAATGAACTCACGACCCTATCAGGAAGTTAGGGGTTGCCGGAACCCCTAGACGTGCACGCCAGTGCGCACTTTGAGACGAGGTCGAATCTTAATTCTATTGTTCAATGGTTGCCCCACTCTGGCACACATGATTGGTTCGCGACAGAAATATGTAGGGTCGTGCTTTTTACACATGCGCGTTTCTAATACGCCCTACCGCCGGTGCGTACGCAGCTTTAATATACAATTAAATTATTATACACGTCATCCCTTTTCTGACAAGGTCGTCTAGTTTGGTCTACCTACGTCCAGGAAGGCCACTGATTGTAAAACGTTAAGCCTAATACTTTATTTTTGAAGGCACACAATACTTTAAAGGTCAATGACACAAACGCGCGGCCATCTTAAAACTCAGCCGGACAGACGTCAAAGTCGAGTTGACACCGAAGCAGAAGATGAAATTAAATAAAACTAAAATTCAAAATAAAAAAATATATATTTATATATCCCAAAAATAAAACTTTACTTATATTATTGTGTACACTTTTCAATAGTTAATAAGCTGTATCAAGGCTTGGTAGCAGCGCCACTTGTCCGGTAAGTAGAAAGGTTCGAAGACATGCGGGAAGGGCGCGTCCCAGCCGGTCACTCGAGCTATCGGCGCCTCCAAGTGCAGAAAACATTCCTCCTGTTCAAAAGTAGAATAAATGAGGCCTATAAAGTCAAAGGCAGCTAAATCCAAGTCTGTCAAATATTCAGGTAAACTACAAAAATCGGCCCTAAACACGTCATTAGGGATCCTCCCGATCCATCGAAGTACTGCTCTTGCTAGGGCCAGTGTTAGCAACACTCTCGGTTTGAGAAACTGAAATAACTTTGTTCGGATAGCTACGATATTCTTTATTTTAAAGCAGATTTATAAAGAATGAGAATATTACTAATTATCTGAATTTTAAATTATGAAACTTCGTTTATTAGTACTTAGTACAGAGCAAAAATGAAATTTTTGTGCTGAATTTGTTAGAGATTTAGCTGCATTTGTTATAACATGTATCTTTTTTTTTTCCTACCTAAGCTGATAGCCTTTAGAGGCTATTTCAGCGTAACCGTGGCTAGTAGGTGAGCTCACGGGGCTCAAACCTGATGACGTTGCTAACACGAACCCTAGCAAGAGCCGTGCTTCGCAGAATCTACCACCGGATCGGAAACGCGACCCACTGAGAAGATCCGGCGAGAAACTCAGTGGGCTGTGTCNAGTAGAATAAATGAGGCCTATAAAGTCAAAGGCAGCTAAATCCAAGTCTGTCAAATATTCAGGTAAACTACAAAAATCGGCCCTAAACACGTCATTAGGGATCCTCCCGATCCATCGAAGTACTGCTCTTGCTAGGGCCAGTGTTAGCAACACTCTCGGTTTGAGAAACTGAAATAACTTTGTTCGGATAGCTACGATATTCTTTATTTTAAAGCAGATTTATAAAGAATGAGAATATTACTAATTATCTGAATTTTAAATTATGAAACTTCGTTTATTAGTACTTAGTACAGAGCAAAAATGAAATTTTTGTGCTGAATTTGTTAGAGATTTAGCTGCATTTGTTATAACATGTATCTTTTTTTTTTCCTACCTAAGCTGATAGCCTTTAGAGGCTATTTCAGCGTAACCGTGGCTAGTAGGTGAGCTCACGGGGCTCAAACCTGATGACGTTGCTAACACGAACCCTAGCAAGAGCCGTGCTTCGCAGAATCTACCACCGGATCGGAAACGCGACCCACTGAGAAGATCCGGCGAGAAACTCAGTGGGCTGTGTCTGAGAGTTAATTTACTCGCCGAGCCCTTCGTCGCAAGCGACGGGATCGACGAGAACGGTGACCGGTGCGTGAAGTACCCAAAAGCACCGTTAGTGGATCGGGAGGATCCGAGATGACGTGTTTTGGGCGACGTCGACTGCTTTTCAATCTGTCCGCAGGATCGGGAATGTAGTTACCGGCGGCCACGATGAGAGGGTTCTCGTATCGTGCCGCTTTATCGAAGTGGTTATAACATGAAAACACTAAAGCGTGTCCAACTAACTAAACAAGATAGCGCCATTGTTAATACATTGTACGACATTAAGGCATTTAGCTGCCTTTGATTTCATAGGCCTCAAATGTCCTTAACTATCACGAAGAAATCACGAGGTCCGGTCTGTGTGCTTAGTGCGAGTTTTTTAACATTCTCGATAGCGTAAAAGTTAAGTCCAAGGACATGGGCCACTCTCCATACATTGCACGGCCCACTAAACGAAGTTCAAGGACAATAATGAAATTAAGTTTAATTAACAGACTATATATCCCTTTTTTATTTTATTTCTCCAATAGCTGTACTATGAGGTATTTCAGGGTTATCCATTCTTTCTGGGACACCCTGTATATAGATATGTGGGTGTGGCTGACCTGCACGGTGGCGGCGAGCTCGGCGCCGAACCCCGACGTGAGCGGGGCCTCGTGGGATATCAAGCACCGCCCAGTTTTCTTCACGGACTGGAACAAAGAGGGAGACAGTAGTCCAAGAACTTGACTTGTTGGGATTTATTAAGCAACGAACTGTAATTTTATTGTTTTATTACTTAGGTAGGCCGACGAGGTCACGGCTCACCTGATGTTAAGTGGTCACCGGAGCCCATAGACATCTACAATGTAACTCACCTTAAGACAAGGGTTATAAGGTCTCAGTCTAGTTACAACGGCTACCACACCCTTCAAACCGAAACGCATTACTGCTTCACTTCAGAAATAGGCGGGGTGATGGTACCTACCCGTGCGGACTTACAAGAGGTCCTAGCAACAGTAAATAACTTACATTTTGGGATTGAGTGAACAACGAACTATTGGTATTATGCTGCAATTTTGTAATCGTAGTAGCGTGAGGCGGGAATTCCTAAAATAATCGATAACTTTTTCACACACAAGATAAGTTAACCAACCGCTAAGTTATTAAATCGGCCAATATTTTGTGACAATAGGGAAAAATGCTAGAAGAAATAGGATTTTTAAAGTAGTTTTTTCTAATATTTTTATAACGATCTCACAGCCCACCTGGTGTTAAGTGGTCGCCGGAGCCCATAGACATCTACAACGTAAATTGCACCACCCGCCTCGAGACATGAGTTCTAAGGTCTCACTACAGTTACAACGTCTCCGATAAACAAATCGCAGCGACAAGTTTGGCGAGAGCACTCACATTGCACACGGTCTCCTCGTCCCAGGGCAGGATCGACTGCAGATCGATGACGTCACAGGTGACGCCGAGCTTGTCCCGGGCCATGTCTGCTACCTCCAGCAGCACGTGAACCTGCGTGCCCCAGCCCACCAGCGTGGCCGCGGCGCCTGCCCGGGACAACATTGCACTTATACTGAATGTTAGGACCGCTTCCGAATAGAAAGACAGACGATAGTAGTGTTACGCCGGTAAGAGTAACGCCATCTATCGCCGAATAGTCGAACGAATATCGAAGGATCCAGAATGCTAGAGAATTACAACGCCATCTATTTTCAGATAAACTGCTACTAGAGAGGTGTGGAATATTCTCGATAATTCTAGGGTTGAGGTAACGGCTATAAAAGCGTTGTAGAGATGGCACGCAGTCAGTCAGAAACCGGAACTACTCGAAGCGAAACAGCGAACGGATCACCTGAAGCGAGACGGAATAAGCGAAAGTTTTAAAGTGTTTGTTGAGTCTTTATGAAGTGTTTAAGTGTTTTAAGTGTTGAATACAGTTTCTAAGTTGTACTTTGATGAAATTTTATTTATCCCGAACCCCAGCGGGTAACAGTACTAATGGTACTGGTGGTAGGACCTCTTGTGAGACCGCGCGGGTAGGTACCACCACCCCGCCTATTTCTGCCGTGAAGCAGTAATGCGTTTCGGTTTTAAGGGCGCGGCAGCCATTATACTATACTTGAGACCTTAGAACTTATATCTCAAGGTGGGTGGCGCATTTACGTTGTAGATGGCTATGGGCTCCAGGGACCACTTCACACCAGGTGAGCTGTGATCTCGTCCACCCATCTAAGCAATAAATAAATAAAAATGACTCCTTTGATGATGGGACGGAAAAAAATAGATACTGATTTAAAAAAAAAACATATTTTTTAAACGTTTTATTAGCATTATTTAGGCACCATCATGTTAGTGCAGCTAAATGAAACGATAGTTTCATAAAAAAATACTTTACTAAAAAAAAAAACCAGCAATGAAACACAAAATCAAAAAGAGTTGATGCTCCAATCAACGAGCATCCGAGCGTGGCGCGGCGCAAACTCGCCCGTTTTTTTTTTGTTTTTTTTGTATTGCCCTTGTGTATAGTGTTATGGTGCGTGGTTACCGTCACCCATTTCAGCAATGCCAGGGGCAGAGCCAAGCCGCTGCCTACCGTTTAATACTCTCCACAAGCCTCGTTTGAAGAAGGACATGTCCTAGCGCTCGGGAAACATCGTGAAGGGGAGCTCATTCCATAGCCGGATGGTACGAGGCAAAAAGACCTCCGGAAACGCACTGTGGATGACCGCAGTGGATCCAGCACAAATATTTAATAACAACATTTGTCTAGATAACTATCATTAGTACTATCGTCTGTCTTCGTTTTCGGAAGCGGTCTCCTAACATCCAGTCTAAAACAACCAAATCAATGAAGCGAGAGGGAGACAGAGAGACACGAGAATAGAGAGGCACTGATTGTTGATAAATAATGTTGAGAGTAAACTTAAATAAAACCCAGCGCCGGTCTGGGTTTTATTTAAGTTTACTTAGTGCGAGTAATTTTTAACGTTCTCGATAGCGTAAAAGTTAACTTAGATTTGTATGCAGTTTGAACAGCGCCCCTAGCGGCAAACTGAATACAACTGAAACTGACCAACTCTTAACGTCTGCGCCTTTCCCAGCGGTAGCGTGTAATCCTCGACGGGTACTTCTTCGGCTGCCGACCTGTACAGTATCTTCGGTTCCAGGAACACGCAGGGGTCCCTCTCGCGGATGCAGGCCAGCAGCAGACCCTTGGCCGCTATGGGCCCGCGAGGCACCACCACCTTGAAAATACACGTTTTCGTTTATTGCAACGTGACTTAGCTCACGGCCGACCTGGTGCTCAATGCTTACCGCAGCTCATATTTATTTTTATTGCTTAGATGTTTGGACGAGCTCACAGCCCACCTGGTGTTAACTGGTGGTTACTGGAGCCCATAGATATCTAAGACGCAAATGGGCCACCTACCTTGAGATATAAGTTCTAAGGTCTCAGTATAGGTACAACGGCTGCCCCCCCCTTAAAACCGGAACGCATTACTGCTCCACCGCAGAAATAGGCGGGGCGGTGGTACCTACCTGCGCGTACTCACAAGAGGTCCTACTACCAGTAATTACGAATGCACCGGACATCTTATCCTTTAGGCTACGACGACTTATTGTATTGAATAACGACCCTCCCACCCTTAAAAGTGGAAAACATGTTTGCTTCACGCGCAGAAGTTCCACAATGCCCTCCACGAAGCCAGGGACCGCAGTAAATGGAGGGTAACTGTACCAGAGAGAATGATGCAGTGGGGGTCACGATCCTCTGTAATGAGGAGAGGGACGCATGAAGGAGGTCACGCGCAGAAATAGGTGGTAAGTTTGAGGAATTAAAAAAATAAATGAAACTACTTCACAGAATAAACGATCTGTCAGACTGTGGAATCACCCTCTTTAACTTGATAAATTCATATATATATTGTAATACCGTCAGTAGGAAATTCAAAAAATATGTTTATTGAGTTGTTATGAGTGTGATCCAGACCATTACATTGGTCATCCTGGATCCAAGGAGGCCTTTGCTTCCTGTCGGGTCATCTGCGTGCTAGCAGAATATTATGAGTAATAAAATAAGAGAATAATCAGTTAGTTCATCTGTCCAATTTATTTGATAAGATAATCTTAACTCACCCGGAGACCGGGGACATGTGCAAAGAAGGCCTCCGGACTCTGGGAGTGGTAGAGTCCGCCGTGCCCGACCGCACTGCAGGGCGCGCGGACCGTGAGGGCGCCGCTGTCGTACTCCCCTCCAGATCTGTACCTCGCTTTAGCAGCTTCGTTCACTATCTGAAAAAAAAATAAAAGAATTCTAAAGCAATCTCAAAATTGTTGTGTTTCAATGGTGAAATTTGTTATAATCTTATTAGTATATGTATGTAAATATGTTTTTTTTTTCATTAAATTATCTCTTTCTGTAATAACTAATGTGTGATATATTATGTAGGTACTTCGTTTTTAATCTACAAATGACTGAATGGTTCATCGACACACAAATCAAAACAGAACTTTGGCACAATTCCCATTATTGCCAACAAGTCGTCCATATGCCTTTTATGTTGTTAAACTCCATCAAGAAAGTATTTTTTCAGCATAATATCTTGATTCAATTGTGCAAGCCCTGGGTTGATTTTGTCATTATACTAAGGTATAATTGAGAAATTCCAAAAAATATTTTCTTGTTGATTATAGATAGGTTGAAAAGTCCATGGCCTAAATTCAAATTATTATTAACAATCTCATGTTGATATCCATATAATCATCAAGTCAATACCATTATTAACTTTGCATTTGCCCTACCAGACGACTTTAGAGGGCGGTTTTTTTTCAAAAATAAAATGTTCCATTATAGTCATAAAGCAGTCGCTTCGGGTCAAGGTTTTTCTTCAGTATTTTGGGTTCTGGATATAAATATATCTGTGGCAAGAATTAAAAATGTGCCTACACTCAGAATATCAAATATCTGTATCAATTATTCTTACAGGGAATCACAGGAATAATCAGACAGATGACGAAACCTTCAAGTGCATAATACCCAATATTTAATTACCTACCTGATCAAATGCTGGAAATATGTAATCAGCAAATTGTATTTCAGCAATAGCAGTTGCGCCTGCAGTGGCTAGACCTATACCGAAGCCGGCAATACCCTGTTCACATAGTGGAGTATTGAATACACGGTCCTTGCCATATTTCTCCTGGAATAAATAGATTACTTTAATGTAGGTAGCTGTGTTATGGTCTCCCTCTCTCTCTCTCTCTCTCTCTCTCACTATAATGCAATGGTCCCAGATTACCCAGGTCACTTCCCAAGGTGACTATCTGACGTCCTGGAGAAGCTGAAATATTGTTTGTATGATGACACTTTCACATACACTAAAAATGGCCTGAATACTTATTTGAATGTTAATTTGCTGCAAAATTCTTGTTCATTGTATTGTATTGTATTGTATACTATAACTACAGTACAATATACTAGCAATTCTCTGCAAATAAGTCTCTAAGCTACACCAATTTTGTGTGTGAAATATTGCAACCAAACCAAAATGTATGCTTTTTAATAGATAAATGATATTCCATGTTTCTAAATAATTTTTGAAAATGCATATCATTTTATTAAATTAATTAATCTATTAGACATCATCTTCTCGGTTCTTCTGGTGTGAAGTGGTTGTCAGAGCCCGTGTATCTTAATGTGAAGTGTTTATTAATTATTTTGTATTTTGGCCACCTGACTTGTCCATCATAGAAAACAGATATAATTTTTTTTTACATTAAATTCAAATATTAAAATTGGACTCGAAGATCAGACTTGAACATTTTAAAAATATAAATAGAAACTTTAAAACTAAACTCTGAACTGGACTATTTTTTTGGATAAATTTTGTAGTTAAGAATTATTTTTACCTGTAACCCCAAAGCACATCTGAAGACACCCCCGAATGCGACATCTTCACCGAACAATACAGCAGTTGGATCATTCTTCAATGTGATGTCCATTGCATTGTTTATTGCTTGCATCATATTCATTTTTGTCGTTTCTCCTGAATAGCACATGGAATTTCGTATTTTAAGTGTGATTAACTATAGAACTGCTAAGCTCATTATTCAATTGACTTTAAGACAGTTTTTGAAAAAAATGCTGATTTATGAACAAGATATTATTTGATGTGTATTCTTAACCACCCACTGATATGATTATGAGCGCTTAAATGCACGTATCTAAGAATTACAAAAATATAAAAGTATTTAAGAAATTATACGATTAATGAATCAAATTAAAACTTAAATTAGTACAATTCAAATTGTGCAATGAAAACATGTTTGCTCTATATATCATAAAAATCTCAAGTCACACTCACCATCTACTGGCCTTTCTTTATCTGGATAATAAATAAAATGTGAAGACATTCTTTTAGCGTAGTTATTAACATTTCGAATTAATTTATGGAACACAATACTTTTTGTACTTAAACTTGTCATTTTTAACGTCACGGAATCCAACGACTGTTGAATTGGGTAATAAGCTGTTATCTACTAACGTAATTAACTTTGCTTTGATTAAAAATCATTTATAAAGTGTGTGACGAAAGAATTAGCATTTTCTCGCGTTAGTCAGTATTGTTTTCCTACTTGTTGAAGTTCAGTTTTTATTACAACTTCGACTCTATTTGTACGGGATAATGTTTACTTTCAAATATCTTGTCTTTCGAAACAAGTGTAGTGACGGCAATACGGGCACGAACTTTGGTTTTCGAGAATACTTTATTAAAATGAGTTCAATTTACATTTTAAACAAATTAACGAAGTTTTCCAAAAAAATATTGATGAGCCTATCATTAACATATTATGCACACAAAATAAACCTAACATTAATTATCAAATCTTTAGAATATTTCAGTAAATTGAAAAACTATTCGTTTTTAACCGCTTCGCGTTATGTGCCGAATCCGAAAATTCAACATTAATCAACAATAACATTACTAAATTTTCTTGACGTTGACGTTGGCGTTTTCAATAAAACGAGAAGATGTCACTGTCGTTTTTTGTCCAACTTCGAATATTGTAAGGTTTCCAAAACCAAACTAGCTTCGAAAAGCTATCAGGCCACCTGATATAGGTAACTACAGCGGAATCCCTAATAAGCTTGTTGTTAATATGATACATTACACTACATTTATTGTTGTTCACTACTGCTACTACTACTATACATTATTTGAGAATAGATATGAGCTTAGTTTAGCTAGCATAGCTTAAGAAAAAAAAATCCACCCAGTTCAGAACTCTCTACGTTATCTTAGTTGTTATAAAATTCTTCAACTTCAAACCTACTTCAATTGTAATGTACTTAGACTTCTATGGGTTTGAAGAATTCGAATAGTTTAATCTCCAGGATTTTAGCTATATAAATTTTTTTTCAGACTGCCCATGCCGCGGCGCCGACGTCCTCTGCTGGAAATAGGCCAAAATAGCTCCCTAATCACACTTAGGCAATTTCTCAAAACCACATCAAATATCTCATTGAATATTCCATGCATAAGTGTTAGTAAAAAGAAAGTTCCCACTGCCAAAAGTCACATAATATTGAGTAGTTTTTGTTCGCATATATTTTAATTAACATAGTACTAATATCAGTATAATAACTAACCATAGTATAATTAACATAGTATAGTCTATCAGGTTATCATTTCTAAAATTGAAAAGTTTAAATTAATGACACGAAAATTCATGAATTTGCTATTCATTGCTGATTTCTGTTGAGCAATAGATGTTGCTTTCAGGGTTTTATTTAGCTACTAGCAAATACCATTGCACAAATAACTTCGTAGATAGGGTAATCAAATTGGATTGAAACATCATAATCTACATTTTAATAAGTGTAATCCTCCAAATGAAACTAAATTTTGGCACATAATTATTTGCCTTATAAATAAAACTGATTTTATTAAATAACATTAAATTTGTATTTGTTAATGGTTGTTTATAATGTAATTTTTAATGACATTATAAAATATAAGTAGTTGGTACTCATTGTTTGTATTTAATTTGTATTTTTTCTGTATTTATTCATTTTGAAGCCGCACCGCGTTTTAAATTATAATGAAGTACCTAATATAATTTATAAAAACGTAATACCTATAAATTTTTACTTTATTACCTTGATTAAAATTAAATTAACATGTCACTTTGTGAGTACAATAGAACGATGGATTATTCTAATATAAATAGTAAAATCTTTGTTGTTTTGTTTCATTCATCTTTGAATGACATATTCTGTATTTATTTATTTACTAATTATTCTCTGAAAAGTCAAAATGCCCAAGGCCATAACCCCTCAAAATAAAAATCAAAATGCATTAACAACAATAGAGTGCTTGTTTAGTATAGGTGTGTTTATAGTTACTTTTACTTTTGCTCACGAGAATAACGCGGTCGACAGCTCAGAATCACGACTCTGGGAACTGAATGATGTAAATTTATATCTCATTTCGTGCTGAAAATCCCTTTCGTAACCCACTTGACAATAGAGTGAAAAGAATTGTTGATTCTACGCCGTGGGTCAAGTTTTGACTTCCCTAAATGTAGCTACACATAAATGTAGGTGTATTCAGGCTCATTTTTAAATCGTAATATTGCGTTATTAGCCAAAAAAATGACTTAAGTTTGAAATTGTGTCCGTTTTGGTATGTACCACTTCGCAAAACATTTCCACTGGAATCGCTTAGCACTAGATTGGCTAAAGGTTGGCCTAACAATTCTCTACCATATTAATCTTAGTACGTAGCCAAAAATATTTTGTTATTCATTCTCGGTCATAATCTGGGTTTTTGTAAGTCGAGTGAATAATCGCGAGTTAAAATGCCCCTAAGTTTTAACTGGTGGTAGGACCTCTTGTGAGTCCGCAGACGGGAAGGTACCCTCAGAAGGTACCATTACCCTGCCTATTTCTGCCGTGAAGCAGTAATGCGTCTCGGTTTGAAGGGTGGGGCAGCCGTTGTAACTATACAAAGACCTTAGAACTCATATCTCAAGGTGGGTGGCGTCATTTACGTTGCAGATGTCTATGGGCACCGGTAACCACTCAACACCAGGATTTAAGGATAAATAAACACTTAGAGCACTAAAAAAACACTCAACAAATACTGTAAAACTCTCAATTCGCTTGTTCCGCTTCGTTTCAGGTGATCCGATCGCTGTTTCGCTTCGAGTAGTCTGATTACTGACTGACTGTGTGTCATCTCTACAACGCTTTTATAGCCAATACCTCATCCGTAGAATTATAGAGAATATTCCACACATCTCTAGTAGTAGTTTCCGCTATCTGACAATAGATGACGTTGTACTTCTCGAGCGTTCTAGGTGCTACTAGATCCTTCGACATTCGTTCGACGATTCGGCGATAGATGGCGTTACTCTTACCGGCGTAACAAGAACAGAAAACCGAATTGATGGAAGAAGATTGATTCAAGAGTCTGTAAAATAATATCAATTTTAGAAATGTTTGGTGGGCCGCGTGTTGCTCATCCTTGGCATATATCATTATAGGCCGTATTCAGTGTCGCCTTATTATCATGGGACATTTTACTCCACTTGCTGATCGTAGGATAAAGTCTGCCGGGGATAAAACGGTTATGGAAGGACCTTATATCTGAGCGGAATGTCATGGGTGCATCCAGGATGACTCCCAGATACCTGACCTTCCAGGTTCAGGGATTGATTGGCCGAAGAGGGTGATCGGAGATGCTTTCCATTTTGTGATGCAAATCGCCATTTGCATAGCTTTTTGTTTCGATCATAAGTTAGTGCTATTTTAATTTGTCAGGCATAAGATTTTAGTTTGCATATTGCATACACTAGTTTTCCACCCGCAACTTTTCCTGTCTCAGCTTTATATCGCGTGAACGGAGACCCTACAGGATTAAAGGTACATTATTTTCAAAGTTCAAACTATTTACACACCGATTTTTTTTCTATGTAACTTCTAACATCGCATAAACCATTAAAGTATGTATATTAAAAAAAATTTAAAAGTATTTTACTTTTTTTATCATCCAATTTTAATGGAACAAATACTGCTCCAAATTAACCTATCTGCAGTAATTCCGGAGATGGGCTGGAAGAAATAGAAATATATAAAATAATTATAAAAACATTCATCCAATATAATATTTTACCAGGAATTACAATAAGCACAAGAATTATATTCCCATATAAGACATTGAAATGACTCCATAGAGCGTCTTGTCGTTCAGGGCAAAGTACAAGGCACTAGACCGCGTGGAAGGGTGCCCTTGCGATGGACCGACCAGATCAAGTCGGCGGTTGGCGGCTGTTTGCATGAGTGTACCAGGCTCACCACAAACCGGGAGAAGTGGCGATTGCTTGTGAGGCGCATAACATCTGCACACAGCAATGATGCTGGATGACGACCACGACCGCTCTGACAAGAGTGATACGACATACGATACGATACGATAAGACATTTAGAAGAATTAGTACGTAGGCACTACGAACGCATACTATTGCCATCTCCTTAAATCCTCCTGCGCATAAATGCTTTACATTGAAAATATAGACGAAAACTGACTAGGTGGTGCAATTTTTATTTTTTCAATAATATTTTGGAACTACCTTTTCGCTGGTAGCGCGGTGCAGTAATTAGCAGCACTCTTGAATATTGCGCCGAGGATCGTGAGTCCGATTCCCACATTTAGCAAACATTCGTTTAATGAATAGGTTTGTTTGCTCTTTTGGTATTTACTATCTACATATGTATCTATTTAAACATGTATAAAAATTATGAATGTCGGTCTCTGCTAATAGCCCATAACATAGGGAATCCTAATTTGGGGCCCGATGACTGTACGCTTTCTTAATCTTTTTGTATAGGGCTGAGACCTGGATCTTGAAAGAGTCTGACAGGCGACGCATAGACGCGTTTCAGATGTGGCGCTGGCGCGATGGCGGCGCATGTTGCGCATCCCTTAGACGGCTTTCCGGACGAACGCTTCCATTCTTAACGATCTAAAAGTTGACCAGAGGCTATCCATCAAATGCCTATATAGAGTGCTCCAATATTTTGGTCATATTTTTTTATTTTTTTTTATTGCCCTTGTAGGCAGACGAGCATACGGCCCACCTGATGGTGAGTGGTTACCGTCGCCCATGGACTTCAGCAATGCCAGGGGCAGAGCCAAGCCGCTGCCTACCGCTTAATACTGTCCACAAGCCTCGTTTGAAGAAGGACATGTCATAGCGCTCGGGAAACACCGTGGAGGGGAGCTCATTCCATAGCCGGATGGTACGTGGCAAAAAAGATCTCTGGAAACGCACTGTGGATGACCGCAGTGGCTCCAGGTAGTATGGATGAACTCTACTCCGGTGGCGGGCGGTGCGATGGTAAAAACGAGATGCCGGTATCATCTCGAACAATTCCTCAGAGCACTCCCCATGGAACATACGGTATAAAATACAGAGGGAACCGAAGTCCCTCCGCAGACCCAGAGGCTCCAAACGATCCGTGAGACTGGGATTATCGACAATCCGAACGGCCCTCCTCTGTATGGAGTCAAATGGAAGAAGCTGGTATTTGGGAGCCCCGGCCCAGAGATGGGAGCAGTACTCCACGCGAGGCAGGACTTGTGCTTTGTAAAGCAGAAGCCTTTGTCCAGGCGTGAAGTACCGCTTCGCTCTGTTGAGGACTCCCAGCATTTTGGACGCCAACTTGGCTTTGCCTTCCAAATGACTCCGAAACTGGACATCGCTCGAAATGTCTATAGCAAATGTCGAATGAATATAGCAAGAAAACCCTCTGACAGCCTGGAGAGACTCATAGTGACGGGTAAAGTGGATGGAACACGATCCAGAGGTCGGAGCCGAAGAATATGGAGTGATCAAGTATCCGAGTGTCTGGACATGACACTGAGCCAA